GCTGTTAAGCAGATGGCTTTTTTTTTAAATATCTGCGTGTAGACATAGATGAATTAAGAGCTATTTATTTATGTTGCTGTTTTATGAACTCAGATAGGAAATGCTTCACAGCTTGAACATTTATATTGGACCAGAAACCACGATGAACAAATTAATCTTGACTTTCTGTTGCAAAGAGGGGCTCCTAATCTGGCTATTCATATTTCCATAAATATTAAAACTGACGACTGAAGAGTGTGTCTCAATGGGTTTGAATATAATATTGTATATCAAGTCTACTGATTTTATTGATAGAGAGCTATTTCTTTATTTTAACTATCTGACTAAATCAATATTTTTGCAGTTTGGACTCTGTCTCCCTCAGTTTGGACTCTGTCTCCCTCAGTCTTCTCGCTTTGTGACTTTGCTTTAGAGACGTTTCTGCTCTGGGACTTGTATCCAAATGGCTGTGATTCTCGTGGGTTTTTCTACAGTTTCAATCTATCTTTTTGAAAGAATGTTAATCTAATAGTTTGTCATATGTCAAAAAGACAGATTCTTGCTGTTGCACTTGGAAGGCTGAAGAAGGTAATGTTATAACATGGCTGGGTTCAAGCGCAGAGCTGCAGTTTACCTCAGTGTGAATCTTACTGATCGAGCTCCTTCACTCCAAGATCAAGGTTATGTGAGACTCACTGTAGATCAGTGCAACACTTTCATCATTACTTTAATACGTCTTTTCAGAAGGATGGTCAGTTTGGAGTGCCTTACTCAAAAATTGGGAATACAGTCATTCCCTTAGATTTCCAGCCTTTTGGACTGTAGTTGGTGTTTCACACTAAATTCTCTGTAAATAGATTCATTAATGAATAGAGCCAAACACTAATTTTGCTGATTAGGTTGTATTAAGTAAACTAAATGGAGGCAATTTATGAATTGATGGGAATGAGTTCTGTGCAAGAATGAGAGATTAGCATGTTTTCCAGCAGAGGATAGAAAGCATGCTCTCAATTCTGCTTCTCAGAGACCACTGCCCTGCCTATTTTAGTTGTGTCTCTGCTCTGCAACACCAGATTCATAGGACATCTTCTGCTGCCACCAAGTGCTGCAGAAACCTGTCAATCACCCACTTATTCAAGTCAGGTGTGTGACAGAAGGGAAACACCTAAACAGGGCAGCAGGGCAGTGGTACCTGAGGACTGGAGCTGAGAATCATGGCTCTGGCCAGACCTTGATAAGCTGAATACTAATATCTGACAATCATATACATTTAATAAACAGAAAAATACGTTGGACGACATATTTTAGTCTCTTCTAAAATTTTCTGTGACAATGCTGAGCATTTTACGACATGCACAGACAATGTGCATGTTTATACAAATAACTTGTTTTCTTTACTGGCATCATATCAAATATCCTGCTTGACTGATTCTTCTGTTCTGGTATCTCAGCTAGGATATGCATGCATGTTTGTTTTCTTAAATTCATTGCACTGATTATTGTGTAAGTTGAACTGGAAGGCCCACGTTGTTTTCTCTCTGTCGAGCTTTTTCTTTACCCATCTGGGACAACAAAGATGAAATGAGTTCCCCCGACCAGACCAACCCTTCTAAAGTTGCTGATTACAGCTGTCTGAAATCTACTGTAAGCAGCCTTTTCCATCTTGTCACCAAAGACTGCTTGTGTGTGGGTGCATTAAGAGGAGGCTAATGCACATGCGATAATGGATATAAATGTAGGAATTTGTGGTCAGCCCTGGAAGATGAAAATTTATTCACATATTTTCCTCTGAAACACAAATTAGTTGCGGAGACGGACACAAATATTCAAATATTCACACTGCACTTCATTTTTTGTTCAGGCACCTGGCAGGGACAGACTTTGCTCTTTCTTTCAGGTCAGTGGTCTGTTTGAATTATAGATTGTAGGTTTTCTATCTCCTGAGATTTGTAGCCAAGCCCTCTGGGAAACTTGGCAGAGCAAAAACCCACATAAAAGATCTACTGTACATGTGACACAAAAAAAGGAACGATGCTGCAATTTTGTTTTCTGTGTGAACTGTTGAGCATTAAGGATATCTTAAATAACATTTTTTGGTTATTCTTGAGGATGTGCTGGTCTGATTACAATGCTTGAAGAGAAAAAATTCTAGGAGGCTCAAAAGCTTCAGTCTTAATTTTAGTCGCCCTGCAGGTGCCAGTACGCGCTGAAATACAGAGCAAACTGACATAATATGGTTTTGGTTTATACTAATTACCTGACATTATTTCATCCTTCCAAATTTCTGTCATGTACCCCGAAAGCTTGAGGCCACAAATGGTAAAATGACAGAATGTCATGTGCCAGGAGCTAAATAGGGCCCTTGCAGGTAATTTCCTTCCCAGCGGATAATCCAGCAGAGCCCCGAAAGCTTTGTCTTCCATTGTTTGGACATAATCTTCAATTATTCTCCTAATTCATCTGGACCATTGTTGTTGGGGTCTGCCTGACTGAAGCCAAGTTATCTGTATTGGCCTATCTCTGATGCATCAGCAAATGTTGAACAATCCGTTGGCTTTTGGAAAACAAAATCTCTTGGTATTCTGATAGGACTGCAGACACATGAATGAACTTATAACCAGGTGATGCTGATGAGCTTGTGTGTTTGCATAAGTCTGCGAGTGCGTCCATACCCTGTTGGCTGTTATAATGAAAGTCACTATGGCGTGTGTGATTTGGCCTCTCGTGGGAGAGATTGCCTTTGATTAGCGTGCAGGAGAGAATGGCTGACTGAACAGGAACCTTAATTGTCTTCCTGAATCACTGCACTGTAACTTCTGACAGAAAGGCTGACATGACCGACTAACTCCTCTCTTCAGAGGACACATGTAGTCAATTATGGCCAGGTGTTTGGGTTTGTTAAAACAATTCACATCAGATTTGTTTCTAAATAAGATCTTGAAGAGCGACTGCTCCAAGTGCTACTTGGAAAAGATCAGATAAGACTTGAGTGCCAAGACGTTGCCTACCAGTGTGGCCTCCGTCTGTTACCAGCAATCGTCTTTGAGCTACTAAAAAGTAAGAGTTTAACCATTTGAGTCATGTGCATCGGAGAAGAGAGAGACACATCTAAAAGTTGCAGGATCGTAACTCTTGAGGACTTGGGCGCCCCCAAACTAAGCTGAATCAGAGCCATCAATCACAGAGCCACTCACCTGAAGCATGCTGGTCGTCTGGAATGGTAAAGGAGAGGAAGATGTGGATCTTTAAGACTCTATAAAGATTCATTTGTCACGTGGAAGGTTGACAGTTCAGCATTACACCTTTTGCTGAAAGTTTCCTGAAAAAAAATCCACAATTTCTTGGTTTCATTAGGAATAAAGTTGAAATGTACCAATTAGTTGCAGGAGAAAGGAGCATGACTATATCAGCTACTTCTTGAATGACTTGTTAATTTATTTAAATAGCTATTTGGACTAATTGATGTAGTCAATGACCAAAGAACCTTCTTACTACTTTTTTTTGTCCATTTTTGTTCTTTTTTCTGTTTCATAATACATAAGAAATTGGTAATGCTTCTGCCCTATTGATTGATAACTCATTTAAATTTTATACAAGTCTACATTAGTTATATATCTGACAAGAGTCATTATATAATTGTCTCCTCTATTTTTGCTCTCAGAAACTAATGAGCTGCTTAACATCCAAATAGTTTTACCATGTGAAACACCAAGTCGGGGATAAATGGATGGAGTTTCAGATTTTCTTATTTTGCCCATTTTACAATTTAAAACTATTGATCAGAGATGGGCAGCTCCATTCCTCAAGCGCCGATGCCCTGGAACTTTTCCATTTGTCCTTTATCAAACATACCCAAATCATTTTTGCTGACTAATCACAAGATGCAGTCAGGTTCTCCAGAGTCCTGCTAATCATGTGCTTATTTGATTCAGGTGTGTCTAAAGTTTGCAAGACACCTCTGTGCCATAGATGATGCCTGCAGTTCACTGTATTGTAGTTATGGCTTGTAAGAAGTCCTCCGCTTGCTAGCTGTGTCTCATCATCAGTGGACGCTGACTATGCAGAGGAGTGATTTTAATATAGCAAGCAGCCATATCTGTAAATAATTAACATGTTGCAGACATAAGGTCATTGGAGTTGAAGTAAGAACTCCAGTTTTATCTGAAGTGCTTCACGTGTTCCTGTTCTGAACAATTCACTTTACACGGCTCTCAAAATGTGTGAGTCATTTATAATTTAATACTTATTAAATTAGGTCAATTCAACCTGGTCTCTCAATATTAGACATTAAATAGTAACGCAACAATTTCTGTTTATAGGGACATTGATCCCCTTTAAGCTCTACCAAAAAGGAATCTAAAACATTTTCTAAAAACTGTAATGTAAGTTAATGTAGATTTTGTAATTCATATCATTTTCTTCAACTATTTGTTGTAGATATTGGTGGCAGTGGGCAATAAGTTTTTCCTGCAGCAGTCTGTGTTACAGCTGTTCTGAAGAAGCATTCAACTTAAGAGACTGTTGTCTTCATGAAGAGAATGCTCAGGGTTATCCATAACTTTCTTAATTTGTTACCTGATAATTTTAATACGTTTCTCAGTTTATTACATAGGGCTTACAAACATGGCTGTGTTATTCTAATAATAACATATGCAATCAAGGGCTTTCTCACAGTTTTTCTCACTTAACAAGCTGCCATAATCGTTCATATATCATGAGTCTGCAGGCTCAAATGGGGAAGAACAATAAATGGTAATGGAGCTTAATATAAAGTTGAAAGAGAAATAAAAGTCAGTACATTTATACTTTAAACCGGAGGATTTTTACTTACTAAAACGTAGTGCCCTTAAATTCTCCACTGTCAAGACAAATAGCAGTGGTACAAAATGACTCGAGGAAATTCTGCACTCTCTCTGTAATCTCACCTAAAGGAGTTCAAACCACTGGATTCCTCTGAATGCTTCTCGATTACTTACTTTTAGCTTCAAAATTTAACATACATCTTCTGCTTTTCGTCTCAGGTATATGAGAGGGGAACCAATGTGGAGCAATTTGTGACTCGCTTCCTCCTGAAGGAATCAGCCAATCAGATCCAGTCTCTCCTGAGCTCTGTGGAAAGTGCGGTGGATGCGATTGACGAGCAGCACGGCCAATCTGGGTGAGCCAGTGAGCTTGTGACCGTCTGTTTGTCCATGGGTGTGTACACATGTCACAGCCTAATATGTAAAACTCTGGTTCTCAGTGGTTTTAATGGAGACTGGGCCTTGTTTCAGTGTCATTTCTGCTTTGGATAAAACATCTGTCGCTCTTCTCTACACAGTTTTCATCTTTTCTGTGTCTGTACTTCCTCAGTCGGATCAGACGGTTTCATTCGCCTTCATTCATTTGAATTTTGTCTCACCTCATCTCTATATTTCAGTCATCAACCTGCCAAAGTGAGCCCACGGATGCCAGAGAAGCGCTATCAGAACACTGTCCCTGATTATCCCCCCAACAACAGAGTGAGCGCCAGAGAGGCCGTCAGGACCATCAACACAGCTTCAGGTGATGAACACGAACAGTTTCTCCTGGACAGCTGCCGTCATCTGCTTGAGTGAGATTGCGTCACTCTGGATGGGCACAAATCAAACTCTTCACTGCCTCTCAGCAGTTTTTATTCAACCATGCTCATCCATACATGATTTGGTCCTCAAAATGCTTCAATCAGCTATACCTGCACATATATGCGGGGGCTTCCTTTTAGTGGAAAAGGGCTGTGTAGGGGATTCTTTAAGAGGTGAAGGATGTGGGTTTATATAATGAGTTAGAAAAAGAGAAGAAAGGTGCCTTACAGGGGAAGCAGAGGGAAAACCTGGTGAGCTTGTCAAATTATCTTGTTCAGTGTAGGCAACATATACGCCCCACGTTTAATGGTAATTCTGATAAAGAAGAAGGCTTGTATTAAATTAATCTGTTATTTCTGCTGCATATTTTCCACTGAAAAGAACATTTATTTATATATTCCCTTCCACAGATAAAAATGACTAATTCCTTCACAAAAACAGACCATAAAAAATAAAATGGAAAAAAAAACCCATCAAAAATAAATTTGTAGAAAGAGTTGAAGAAAAGACATATTAGAGGAAGGATCTCTTCAGCTTCCTTTTACGGAAATCAAGACTCACGGTGACATGAAAACAAAATAAGGATTATATTGCTTTAACGTCTCTGCAATATAGGAACGATTGAAAAGTTATTTTACATGTTAAGAAACATTTCTGAAATGCACATTTAAACAGGAGTGATTGGAGCTCTTAATATTCAAGTTTTTCTGCAGAGATCAAGACAAATTCAAGTCGCTCACCCTTTGGTCCTAGACCAGCTTGTTGTTGACACTGGTGCATGTGCTCACCTTGAATCTTTGCGCCCTTTCGAGCACATTACTCGTTAGGGGAAATGACACTTCAAAGGTCATGGAAATATGGTGACACTTAATCACCAAACAAGCTTGACAGGAGACAAGTGGAAGAAAATAACATCCAGTTGATTAGTGGATCACATGAGAAGGAAAACCCTCGAATGTCGATGAGAGAGATTTCAATTTTTTTTGCAGTTGTCATGAAGGTGAAAAGTGTCTCAGGGTCAGTATGTTGTTTTGGTGAACTGTTTATAGATGCAAAGCCTAAGAAATAATTCATCAAATGAAGCACCGTTTACTGTTGTACTTATGGTTTGTTAATCTGAGTGTAGTTTTTCTCTTCAGAAATGGAAATGCAGATGAATCAAGTCTGTGACAAAGTCTACCATTGCAGAATATTTCACCTCTAAATATATCCAGATCCTATTCTCGCAGCTCTGGGTCATTACCTTGATGTGCCATGGAGCTCCAAACACTAAGCTTCATTGCTTTTGGCTGAGTCAGAGCAAACAGTAAAAATGAGCACCCTGTTTTTTTAGAGCTAAAGTTTAAAGCTCTGATTTAATGAGTTCTGTTAAATCTTTTGTGACTCTTTTCCCACTGCGATCATGTGTCAGCAGTTTCCTTTCTTCCTTCCTTCACTTATTCCTTGTTTTCCTTCCTTCCTTCCTTGCAAAAAAGGGAATTGAAATTCAAAGTTTGCATACATTTGGTGCTGCTCCCATTTTGATATTAGTTGTGAATAAGCCAACTGAACAAGATTAATTTCTTTCTTCTTTGTCTTTCTTCCCTCCTGGTTGAGGCATAAACTGGAAGCAGCTGCTATTACTGCTCACTGTTTTCCTGGTGATTTGGAACATTTTCAAAAGTGTATTGTTAAGCCAACCAAACCAAAGTAAGGTGTGAATTTGTGTGGCATCCTCTGGTTGTGAAGTCATCAGTTTTATGTCTCACAATCCTCCAGTTAGTGAGGACCCTTGATTGATTGTAGGATTAATTCTCGCTCAGCTTCGTCCGTTTAGGGAGACAGCTGAGTCTTGGTAGAGTTTCAGCTCTGCTGTACACTTTATAATGTCACATGATGCATTAATCAGTAATGCATTGTTCAAAGATGTAATGTTTGTTTTGATGACTGTTTTCACAATTATGCTTTGCAGGCATGTAGACTCAATGTGCTAATCATGTGACTTCTGAAATATTTGGTTGAGCTGGATTATATTTAGGTAGTAATATTGAGGTTTTGGTTGTAACATCACAAAATACAAGAGTTTTAGATGCATGACTACTTTGTCAAGGCATTGCATAGTCCATGGTATTAGTATTGGGTCTGACCTGCAGTTTCATCCCAGTCGGATATTTCTGAAACCTGCCATAGAAACACATCCAGGAGAGATTTTTAAACCGTTCTCTGGATGATGACCTTCCCTAAATAGTCAAATATGGAGGTCAGGATATGATCTACACAGTTAATTGTAAATAATCAAATTAGAAGTTGATATCAGTTAGTCTTTGCAGCTTGTCTGTTTCTGTGATTGAGCTTAATTTATAGTAAAACTTCATTTTAAGAAAAGTCACTTTTTTGTGTACAAGTCCCTCCTCATAGAAATATTGCTCTCTCCAGTTTGAAACATAAAATTAGACATCTTAAAACAATCCGAGTCAGAGATGATAAACAACACTCGACAGTGACAAACTAATGGTTATTGCATCTCTTCTAATGTCATAGTCTTGCAAATGCAGTAAAGAAAACACAGCTAATCAAATATATTTATGTGGAAGGTATAAAAACAAACCAAGCGGCTGTCAAACCAATTTATTCAATAAAATATATTTATTTATTTTGTGTCCCCAAGACTCTCCTGATGAAAAAGCTTTTTTAATAACAGAAGAGAATCGCAGATAATGAAGAGAGGATGAAGGTTGAGCTGCGAACACCTTCTACATGTTTGCCTTTCTTCAACTCAGCTTTTCTTTAATGGAAAACTGAGTTTAATTCTCTATTTAAATCTCTACTATCATCTGACTGAAGGGCAAATTAAAAAGAGTTTCTGAAGCATTTTCAAAAACACTTTGACACTGAAGTGGAGCTTTTGTGTCAGAAATCTGTTCTCTCATTAAATTAGAGGCACCATGTGCTGATCATAAATACCTAATGAGGGTGTTATAACTTTTTACTAATGATGATGATCTAAATAATTTTTTATTCCTGCTTTCTGGCATTAAGGCTGCAGAAAATAAAGTTTTTGCCAGATGTACAGGTTTAATATTAACATCATGTGGGTGTTTTCCCTGTTTTTTGAGTATCATTAGTAACATAAATTAAATACATTTTAAACTTTCAGGTCAAACTTTGTGATTCTGGATATTCAACACTCACCTGTCAGAGGAGTTTGCTATAAAAAAAAGGCAGAAACCTGAAAATAAATCTCAATTCATACCATCTCATTTGCACTATCATTATAGCTGTGTGTCATTGAGGGGTTTTTTCATCCAAAAACAGCTGTGGATCCTTGTATTCTGATGGGTTTGGAGAACGTTTTCAGTACTGAACTTGTCTGCTGCCTTGAAATGCTGTTAGGTACAAAGATCGGACTGAAGAAACAATGAAGAAACAGTCAAAGACTTTAAAACAGACTTTGCTACTTATCAGGGGCCTTTTTAATAGATAATAAAGTCAATCTAATTGGAAGCAATTAGATAAGTGGTGGTATAAACTTGTGCATGGTTGCGTATGTAATATGGACCAATATAAGACTTACCGCTGGGCTCTTGGTCATAGTGCAGTTGTATTTATGCAAACAGGATTACAGCGAGGCTCTATGTTTTCACTCCATTTCACACTTTTGTTGCAAACAAATACTTTCTCCACAGTTATACACTGTGTTCAAATTATTATGCAAATTGGATTTAAATGTCATAAAGATTACATTTTTTTGCTGGGCTATTAAATTTATAGGTGGTATTGTGTGTCACGGCTCTTTGAATCATTATAATTAATTTGATAGAGCTGGTTGATTAGTTTGTCTGGTGGCTCAATTAAAGGAAAACTACTTAAGAAGGATGTTCCACATTATTAAGCAGGCCACAGGTTTCAAGCAATATGGGAAAGAGAAAGGATCTCTGCTAACGAAAACAATCAGATAGTGTAGTGCTGTATGGCAAGGTATGAAAACATTAGATATTTAACAAAAACTGAAGCTTTATGGTACTGTGAAGAGATTTGTGGCTGATTCAGAACAAAGATGGGTTTGTACAGATAAAGGCATAATAAAAAGGGGAGAAAGTCATGGTGCGGTCCCCATCCTCTTCTAACCTCAACCCTATTGAGAATCTTTGGAGTTTCCTCAAGCTGAAGATCTGAGGGTGGAATGCAGTTCATATCAAAACAGCAGCTCTGGGAAGGTTTTCTGACATCCTGCAAAGAAATTCAAGCAGAAACTTTCCACAAACTCACAAGTTCAATGGATGCAAGAATTATGCAGGTGATATCAATGATGGTCCTGTGTTATCATGTAACTCGGTCTGTTAAGATGTTTTTGATTGAAATAGTTTTTGATTTTAGGACATGTGACCACTTAATGCTGCACATTCAAAGAATGACTGCAGTTCTTTGTAATCCCTAAAATGTTTAGAAAATCTGCTGTGCATAATAATTTGGAACAGTGCAGTTTGAGTTTTATATTTTTGAAAAAAATACTGTTCTCATGCAAAATGTGATTCATACTGTACTAGTTCATGACTTGGACATTATACTGACCATCATTTGCATTGACCATTTAAGAAAATCTGAGAACATATCACTTGCAAAATAATTTGGCCCACAGTGTATTTTCACGTGCATTCCAAACATGTGGGCATCTGTGATTCACACATCCAGCACACTTTTCAGTCACAGGAAATTAATTTAAAATTTTCTGCACGATAAATGCCAGTCGGATAGAATGTGAACAAATTATGCTTTAAATTGAAGGGATTCCATCCTTATATGCAGTCACTGTTGCATCTCTGAGAGGCAATAATGGCTAATTTCTTCACAGGGTAACACATTACCTGCTATTCACCAGCAGAACGGCTGGACGACATCAGCAACGTTTGAAAGCTGAAGAGCTGCTTGATTGTGGCTCTTTTCTGTCTAAGCTCCAGCAATAAATTCAGGTTATTGCTCTCCTTTCATAACCTGATGAAGAGATTTGATGTCACTGAAACATGTTGCTAAGGGCTTCTGCTGTGAAGCATAATTCGTAAAATCGAGCTCTTAAATACTTTTAATATTAATAAATAATTTTCCAAAATGGAACCCATTTCCTGGTTTTCGAGATCACATTTAATGTATTCAGACTGAAAAACAAAAAGTGATCTTGGCTTTTTCTTCTCCTTCAACTCAACCTTCAGCTGTCTGTTTATGATGCTCTGTTTTAGTCCCCAACTCTTCTGAACGGCCAGGTTTGTGTTTGTCAGGAAATGTTAACTAATTGCTCTCAAATCCTGTGTCCCCATATACAGTGCTTCTATACTGCAGTGCACACAAATGATGCTGCCTTGAAGGACTCTTTTATTACCTCTTTTCAAGCTGCAGTAGCACATATTGCGCACATTTTCTATTTTATTATTTTTTTCCTTTCTTTTTCGGTCGTTTGTGAAGCATCCACTCTTCAGTTAAGTGAGATGGGGGGAGGGAGGCAGCGGGTAGGAGAGAAGCGGCATGAAAAACAGAACAAAGAAATGAGAATTATGTAAGAATATGCAAGATAAGAATATCCACTTTTAAGCTGAGGAGCCGTATTGTGTGCTATACCTCAAAGCTTCCCCATTCTGAGTGAAGCATTCACTGAACTTAAAAGTTTTACCTATGAATGTCCTGAGGTTTCTTTTTGAACTGCAGCTCTTAGTACACTCGGGTTTTGCATGTTTATGAATAAACAATGTTTCCTTTTACAGAAACATATTCATAGTCCTTACAGGTTACAGGTTTTGTCACATTACAGCGAATCATTCTTTAGTCTGTTGAGAAAGTGGAGTGAAGATTTGGCAATATTGCAAACCTACCAACATATTGTTATTAACTAAACCTGCACACTGGGCTGGGGAAGATGATAAATCTGGAGGAGCTGTAGAGATCAAGGGTCCATGTAGAGTTAATTTCACAACACAAATAGTCCATTATGTCAAGATAAAGAAAGCTATGCCATTTAAAGTTTGCAACAAACAAACCGAAGTAGAACTATTTTCTTAGCAGTAGTTCTATTTTGTTAGAAATAGTTCTTCTTCAGATGAGGCCAAAGTAGAGCATCTTAACCTACATGCAAAATCCCATCCATCCATTTTCTAACATCCTTGTCCCTAGCAGGGTCAGCAGGGCTGCTGGTGGCCATTTATTTCTCTAACTCTGCAAAATGACCACTGGGTTTTCATCTGCAGCTGTCTGTCGTGTAACAGACCGTGGTTTCAGCTGATGAGAGTTAGGGTACCCGGAGAGAGCCCACGCATGCACAGGGAGAACATGTAAACTCCATGCAGAAAGACCCCGGGCCGGGAATTGAACCCAGGACCTTCCCAACAGTGGTACCAACTGCACCACTGTGCCATTAGAAGATGAAAAATAATGCTGCGTAACATGGTAGCATCAGTATCTTGGGTATGATTTTCTTCTACTGGGCCTTAGAAGCCAATTAGAGTTGACGGGAGGATGAATCCAGCTAAATTTAAGTTGATTCTGGAAGGATCATTAGTTGTAGACTAAAAAATGTAGGACAGCAATCCTAAATCCTGCAACACCTGCTGTTGAATTGTTTGCATCAAAGCATATGCCTGCTTTTGAATGGCTGAACGAGCTGATCTGAAACCAATATACTGTCTGCAACAGGACATAGAAGTAGATTCTCACTAAGATCATCTGTTCAGCTTAAATGAGTTTAAGTGCTTCAGCATCCAAAAACCTTCAATGGAAAATAGGACAACAAAATCTGGTTGTTAAGGGCTGCAGAATGAAATTAATAGAACCACTTATGCGAAGGACTGAGCACTTGTGGCATAAAGCACAGGGAGTCTAGTCTAACATAGGATTTAATAAAATTAGTAAAAGTAACTGCTTTTGTTTGTTAAACTATCTGCAGGTTCTTTCGGGTTTCTTTCTGCAGCCAGCAGGAGCCTCAGAGCAAGTACAGATGTTGGCTTACAAGGAGAGGTAGAAAGTCAGAGAAGAACAAAAGAACAACTTGAATATTTTCTAGAAATCTTACCTCTTTCTGTGAGTACATCACGTGTGAATTTATCAACCATGGGTCTGACTTTACTTCATGTTATGGAAACTGATTTCCTTATATTTCTTTTTAAAGTGAGAGAATTGTCTTGTGCAGACATGTTTTCATTGAAGTTTGAAACTTTTCTCTGAAATGAAACAGCATCTGAAATGAGACCCAATTTGCTGTAAATAAAGGCTTTGTGCACAGAAAATAATAGAAAATTATATGTAAATGAACTATCAGAAAAGTAAAACTCAAATGTTACTTCAAGGCATAGCCATTATGCTAATTACTACACATTTTTTGAAGGCTTATTTTTTTTAAAAAGTGATCAATTTGCAGTAATTTATTTAAAGTAATTATAATCTGCATAACACCTGAAACAGCAGTTCTTCTTAACTGATGCAGGTGGAGAAGGAAAGGTGCTTTTGTAAAAGATGTGCAACTGAACTATTTTTGTTGTTTTAAAGCAAAGCAACAGACAGACTAACCAACATATAAGCTTATAAGAATGCTGCACCTGAAGTTAAATTAGGAAATGCTAAATAACTCAAAGTTGGTTTAATTGAAGAGAAAATCAATAAATACTCCTGTTTCTTTTAAGGAACTGTTGAATGTGAAGGCTGTGATTCTTCTTACACTTCTTTAAATGACCTGGCCACTTATTTCTCTAACTCTATAAAATGACCACTGGGTTTTTATCTGCAGCTGTCTGTCGTGTAACAGACCGTGGTTTAGCTGATGAGTGTGTTCCTTCTGCATACGTGTGTTAAGGATGTCAGGAGGAAGCTCCTAATTGACTGGCTGTTAAAGCTTTTAATGAAGAGTGGGCAGCCCAAGCTCCAATTTGCTGCACAATGACCATCAGGGAATGAAAACAGGCTGGCAGTCGAGCAAGTAGGAAAAGTGAAATTAGTCTTTGAGAGGAGAGGGAAGTAGCGCAAGCTAGTTGGAGAGGTGGTGTTCTGAAATTGGGGCAATAAGAAGATAAAATTATGTTTTTTGCCATTTCTTCAAAAACCGAACATGAAACACCTCTGGCTGAAATCAAAACCCGTCTACATGCTGGAGTCATTATGAAATGGCCTGGCTCTCCTAAAAGATCGTTTTTGAGTCTTAGTAATATTTAAAATATTACATTCATTATCTAGCGTAACAACCCTGACCTATCACTGCAGACTTACATCTTATGTCTGCATATCTGAAGGCTCAGATATAAAGCCTTCTTCACTGCAACCACTAACCTTGATCATCATTTTAGGTGCAAAAATCTTCGGTTTGCAAACAATATTGTTTCACACCCAAACGTCAAAATATTCTTCATAACATATTTGTTTAGGGGTGTTTTAATACCTACTGCAGTGGGTTAGGTTGGTTCAGATGACTTAAAGCAGCCCTTTTGTGTCTGGACCTTTGAGTTGATCATGAGTCGTAACAAAAGGATGATCTGAAGGAAGATATGCTTGTTTCATAGCTACGCGGTTATATCTTGTATTACCATCACGCCTTAGAAAAACAACAGCTGAAATAGCTGGTCAGAACTTGAAATGAGTTCATTTAAACTTCTGACCTCAACTGTATCACTATTCCTAGCACCTTCACTGTATCATTTAAATCGTTTATCTTGTAGGATGTTATGGCTGAAGAAAGAGTATAAATTAACATATTGATGGATTAGATGTTTAGTCACTGGAGGAGAGGACATTAATATTGCAGCAGCTAGTGACTGCATTTATTTGAATAAATCTAACCCAGCAACATTAGATCTGGCCACAAACTAGAACCATGTTTTGTGAGTTGATGTGTTTTGTATTCCAATGGATTTGATGGGTTGTCTTGTGTCTCGTGTTTGTTGTAGGAGCTGTAGAGGTGAGGAAAGAAGGTCTGGAGGCTCAGATCAATCGCCTGGCAGAGCTGATTGGACGTCTCGAGAATAAGGTAACAAACACAGCTATTACAAATTGGTTTGTCTTCTAGATTGATAGCAACAATTTATATTGATGCTCCGGATGAATTTGCAGAACTCCCCACTCCTAAACTGATAAAGCACTATTTATTTTAAAATATATTTGTAAACTTAAGGCTGTAGTGATTTGAATTTCTTTTTTTGCCTCAGGTAAAACTCAGTTTAAAATGGACGCTTATTCATTCTAGGGAATGTATTGAACTTTGTGCTCAGACTAATCACACAGATCAAACTAAGGTCTTTTGGATTTGCAGTCATGGTTGTTCTGCTGATCTTGGTGCAGCACCAGATGAATTGTGTATTGAGAGCTATGAATTACTTTGTGAGATTTCAGGACTCACCAAATCGTCCAAATGTATGTGAAGTCATGTAGATATTTCACGTGTTTATTTGTCTTTTGTTTAATTTGTGACACTGAATAATCATTTTCCAGACAAAATCCAGACTGAAGATGAACCAATTTTGTGTTTGTTGATGAGTTTCTTTATCTGTTTTATCAATAAGTTTTTTTTTCTTAGAGATGAGATCCAGACAGTTTCTTGACCACAGATTCAAACTGCTAGTTAAATGATAATTAAGCCACGTTTTTACGTTTCACTTTTGACATTATGATGGAAAATACACAGATCGTCACCAAATTGTTGGAAGAACCTGTTCTGTTGGGTTGTTGTCTGTCCTCTTCGGCAGAACTAGAAGCAGAAATTTTGTGCGGAACCACACGGCCGACATAGTTCTAGCAAAACACATTTCCTCTGCGGCTGGTTGGACTCTTGCTAGATTTTGTTCCTCAGGCAAATTATTTTCTATATGACCAAAACTATTGGAAATTAAGTTTCTATAGCTTAATATGCAAAATATATATATATATTTTGCTTTCTATCTTGTTAAAATATCTCAACTTACTGGTGACTGGGAAGAAATTGGCTTCATCCATTCCTCCAATTTTACTTTGACAAAGGCCAAATGCATGTTGACCTCATTGTTCTCTACAGGGCTCCTAACTGGACCACTGTCAGAAAAGACCTCAGCAGACATGAGGGTTTTTTTTTAAATACTGTGTTTCCACCAGAGAGCACTTTAGTCTGTCCTTGATGACTTTCTTGGGTGGAATTGAAGGGGCTTCTTTGCTGTGCGTGTTGTCCAAAGGATTTCATCTCTCTGGGACTTCAGATGCACTTCTTAAGCTTTGACTTTTTTGCAGTGTGATTTTGTGCATTTCTCTGGAGGAATATGAGGAATCCATAGTTGTATTTCTGGAGCTTGCTGGACCGTTGTTGATATCCTGAAACTTCTCCAGCAGAGTCTTTAATTACATGGTTCTTTATGATGCAACTGTTTTTCATTTGCAATCTGCTTAGCTGCAGCTTGTTGCATGCCAGATCAGGTTCTGATTGCAAACACAAGAACACATCAACTTTACTTTAATAACATTCTCATTTAGTCTGGTATAATTTGATATGACTTTTTAGAACAGAACTTTCACAGCTTAACTTGCAAATATAAACATGTTTTTTTTTTTTTTTTTGCTTTGAACTAAGCTCACAAGGCCCTTTTTAATGAATTAATGTCCTTCTAATCAATTCACAAAGTTGGCAAAACAACGTATCAGCAAAAGAAGTTTCGGCCTTCACTATACATTTGTCCCAATAAAACACTATCCATTTGTCAAGTTAAACTTATTTGTGTGCATAAAACATTACTCATGCCCATATGGCAATCTGGCCTCAAGCCTTTGCCTGGAGCTGCAAAGACATAGAAGCATTTCTGCTGACTATGTGAATGTTTGTCTTTTTGCTGCTGTTATGAGAGATTGGGTGGGTATCATACTAATTATTTTTCAACAATAAATTCAGGAATGTGCACATTTAATGTTGTTAGAGACCAGCAGTAGCTTCATGAGCTGAAATCAATTTAGTGTTATGTGTTTATTTAGTGTTTCAGGCATGTTTGGGCAATACTGAGACTTTAGAGGATTCTTTAGAAATGATGTCCTTTCTTGTTTGAATGGTGCCTTTTTGGAGGCCCTCATTCTGCAATCAAAAATGCAGAAAATCATATAGGTTATGACGTAGGGCAAAAATGCAGTGCAGTCCTATACAAATTACATCTCCCTGTTTGCAGAAGCAAACAATAGAAAACATTTTTCAGGCACAATTGATCGATATTTATAAGAGCAAATATCCACATGACTCACTTCAAAAATTGCGAAGGATTAAAAATGACACCAAATGCTTTAAAGAATATGTGGTGACTGCCAGCTGGATAAATGGCTTCACATGAGGCTCGTCAGACACATAATTTAACTCAAATATTTAGCTTTAATGTCATAAAGACCTTGTTTTTCAATAGATAATTAACAACTACAATTATTTAGATTATAACACCTCTTCTATATGGTAAAATTCATATTTTCACAAATGTGTTGCATGTATTTTCTGGAGCAATCTATCGTTCCATATTAGATATGTTCAGAAAATGAATCACTTTAAGAAACTTTAAAGATCTGTTTTTATCCACTGGCCTTTGTTTACAATGAATCAGTTCTGTCTGTTGAGTTCCTTTGTTTTCAATGTTACATTTGTTTTTACATCTAGTGTGCTTGTAAAGCTCTTTAGTCCAGCTCATTATAAAGTACTCCACTGCAATGTTAATAGTTCAGTCCATCCAACAACATTGTTTCATGAACTGCAAGATTAGTTGTTTAGATCCATATTTCACTTCTAGAGGGGTTTGTGTTGAGTCATAACATTTCTGCTGCTCATAAATTAAGTAAATTTGGTTAAATGTCATTTCAGCTCTAATGAGACTAAACGGTAATGTTGCATATTTCTTTTCAACACCGAAACGCCTTATTAAACTCATGCGCTTGCCAAGCTTTTGCACAAAAATTATTGAAACAAAATATCTGTTTCAATAATTACAATTATCAAAACAAGATGGAGGATCAGGATCGGCATCCTGATTCTGTAGATCAGGATGAGAAGAGAGAAGGTGTGGAGATGGTTAATAAGTGGGTGAATAAATTAGGACTTCTTTGATTAAGAGGGAAGGATTTAGTTCCAAAAAAGGAAATGTATTTAACTATTTCCCTTCGTCTTTTTCCTGAGACACGGCCACAAATCAAGACACCACCTCATCTCCCTCATTGTCCATCCTTCCATCCTTCATGCCCTTCTCTTTTTTCAGTACTGAGCCTTTTAAGCCTAATGGATCCTTAGCGCACTCGGCGAGTTTCGCAAAAGAAAGCAGCTACGAGAGAAAGAGCAAAGAATAACAAAACACATTATGCTGCCCAGGGGGAGCATGAGGACGAACATGTTTTCTCACTCCCTTGTTAGAATAAGCCTTCAGCCTTAAGCCCAACTGTGATTTCGTACAACAAATGACTCAGGTTTAAATAAAACAATTTCCCACAATCCAGTGACCTCAATTTTGGCAGCAATGATTGAAACACCTTTAAAGAGATGTTCTTTAATCACTTGTGGGCCCCCAGGCTCCAGAGAGCCCATTACTCCTACCTGGTTGCTTGAAGTGACTGTGGCTTGAAGAAAAATTATTTTTACATTTGATTAAACTCAGTGAGGGTCTGTTTTTATATTTTTTTTAAACGCACACATAGTAAGAGGAACAATGTTATTTGTGCTTCATTCACTTCTGCTTTCCTCTCTCAAAGTGAAGTAAAGACATTAGTGAGGATCAAATTTAAACGTTTGCTTCAAAATTTATCAACTAGCACAATTCAAAGTAACTGATCACTATTTACGTCACTTAAAATGAATTGAAATTATAGTGGGAATATTTTATTTAAAGGAGATAAATGTGTTTGAAATGTCGACACTGTTCCATTGTCAACAGCAGTAGAAATTATACCAGTATATCAGTTTTTCATCAAACCTCCAATGTTTGACTCTGTGCTTTAACAATAATAATAGATCCAGGACAAAACACACATCTGCTGGATTATATTTACAGAGAGAAAAGTACTGCAGAAAGGATATGAGAGGAAAGTAAGGTTTCACAAAGGCATCATAAAAGTGTCTTTGTCCTGCTGTTCATGCAACTGCTTCCAGCTCGGATCTTCGTATTGACTCTATGCAGGTGTCTGGAAGAGGAAATGATAATCTCACACTGTGTCAGAGTGAATCACGAATTGTTTACTGAATGAATAATCAACCAGCCACACTGCGTGATGTTATATCTGGAAGGATGAAAATAGTGCCCTGTATTGGCACTGCTGCTCTGATAACACGCTGGAAATCCTGTTACCTGCTAAAAAGGTAAATTCATGCTGCCTGTGTTGCTGGGTGTCGCTCTTAGATTCTCCTGCTGTCTTTCATGTTCTCGGTTTGCAAACTATTACTATTTATTGCTCTCCGGGTGGTGCAAACAGGAAAACGATTTTTTTTTTCTTTTTTGTAGGAGCATCAGAGCCATGGTTTTACAGGGTTTAGTGAAGCACGTATGAAAGGATACAATAGGCCGAACACTGAGAAGCAATTTATTTTCAACAAAAGAAAAAGCGGTATGCGTGCTTCCCTGATTCGTTCACCAATAAAGAAAGTTCAACTTTGTGCAATGAGAAAAATCAATCTGTAAGAAAGTGAAACATCTAGAATAGACACTAGAGGATATTTCAATGATGCTGGTCGACTCCTTGTTGTGTGGGTCGTCTAATGCACCCATTGGCTCAAACACTGAGTCACTGTGGGATCTGCGCACCCCACTGGACAGTTTTAGCTATTTTCAATATTCCTCACATTCTGTTTAGAGGTGAGACTAATCTTTCATGTGCTGAACAACCACCAACACAAAGCGCTTTCTATTTGAGTCCAGCTGTGACCGTGCTGTCACATTAAGCCTGACTTCATAATCTCTTAATTGCGTGTGTGTGTGTCTGTGCTTTGGGTGCCAGACCCCATTTCTTCACCTTTACCTCCTGTGTTGGGTAAAAGCCAGTCACCCTTTGAAGAGCACCGAACAAACTATGTTTTTCATCTGTCACCTCAGTAATGGCAACCTCACTGTTGCTGGCTCAAACTGGTTTACGTAACTTTTGAGTCACTGAGTGTCAAAGTGGAGGAGAATCGTGGAGATTGTTTTTTGTCATCTTTGCACACAGTTATTGTGCTGTCAGACCACCTGACTCTCCCTAAATACGGTAATTTTATTCAGGCTTTAGGTCATTAACCTTTCCAAATACTTTTGTATAAAAATTTCAGTTTTAGAAGGAAATTTCTTGTCATGTTTTACTACATCCACCTTCTTTGGGAAAAAAAAAAATCTAAAAATACCATCTCCCTCTGTTGTGCCTGCTTCTGCTCTCATCCTGTGCATTGACACCTCTTGTTGTGCTTTTAGCTGCTGCCGTTGTAGTTGCCCCTGTTGATTGACGTGTTGCTGCTCTTGTTGTTGTTGTGTTTCTGCTTTCAGACAGTCTCGTTTGATCTGCACCAGAGGCTAACAGATACAGATGGCACCCCGAGCGCAGTAAGTAAGCCAAACATTGAATGAATACATCCCGCACTGCACGCAGCCTCAGGTCCAGCATCGCTCACTGCCGCCTGTAGGCTGCTCAGTTAATGACGAGCTCAGTGAGTGCATCATGGATAGGCTCTCTTTTATTTCCCTGGAAACATGTTGGGTCTTAATTTGCTTTCTCGGCTTTAGCATTTATAAAAATCAAGTAAGAAAGTCTCTTCTTAAATAGAAGAAGACATAACCACCAGCAGCTGTTTTGAGAGCTAAGGACTGAGTGTCTATGTATATCACACTTTCAATGCAATGCAATGTTTAAACACCGTAAAGAGGTCTTCTTGTACTATATGCCAATGTCACATAATATTACAGAATAATACATTAAAATTTGAGGTTCCAATGCAAAACTATGATAAAGTTTGAGTTATGAATACTGTTGTGACTGTAAGTTTAAAATGTATTGTTTTCAGTTGATTTGTGTATTAAAAAAACAATTAAAAATAGGAGAAAAGCAGAAACAGCTCAGCTGCATCTGACATCTGTGTTGTTGCAATATGTTAAATACTTGCAAATGATCTGCTTATCTTTAAAAGACAAGCTCAGTGATCTTGCAAACACTGGTTAAAAAGCACTTGCTACAGAGCAACAGATGAATCACTGAGACACTTTCCTCAGTGAGTCAGAATAATTACGTTCTTAGAGGATCCACCAATAAAAACCCAAAGGAGACAAATGTGAAGCTTTGTTCATTTTGTTTTGTCTTAGAAATGTCAAACAGGAAACGGAGACTTTCACAAGCTACTCATTGGGTTTGCTGATTTCAAAACAGTTTGTTCGTTTTATTGGCCAGCACCTTTAATGTCCATCATTACCAATAACCGCTGTTTTCAGTTCTGACTGTTTAGAGTGCAATAATCAGTCACGCAGGCCTGTAATCTATAATCATCTTTATTAAACTGGGAGAAGATAATCACTGTTTTGTTGCATCATTACACAAACTAACAGCAAAGTGCCGTGGCTACACCAGACAGGCTGAAATTAGAACAGGTTGAAATAAACCAATCCCTCCGTTTTATATTAGAAGTCAATCATAGTGGTTGCACACAAACTGAACGGTGTTTAATTGAAGAAAGCTCTGAAAATAATGTCTCGAGATAATGACTTTCTTTTTTATCATCTGACCTGTTTGTGGCTTTTTAACCAGGTGATTTAAAAAGCCAGCTTTATTTCAATATTAAATGTGTTCAAGATGTTCAATTTGTAGATGTATTTACATGCAAAGCGTCACTTACTGTAGAGCATCTGAGAAAGTGCATGATTTATGTGATCGTTCAAAAGACGCTGTGATAAATTTACCTTTTAGTTTGAACTTTTCATGAACACAGTAATCCTGAAAATCCAGAAAAGTTTGTTTAGCTTGTACACATGAAGGCAAGCAAACAGTGGAGGAGATTTGTTGCATATGTCTCATAAAGTGCTTTGATTCTCCTTGAATGGCTACTTACTAATGGCTCATTTGTATTCAAAATAATGCAGCGTAAAAAAAAAGATTAAATAGGATTTGGTTAAATGACAATAAAATTCCTGATTGTTTTAACCAATATTGGTTTTCCATTTGGTAATTTTCCTGCAGAAGTGTGTATGTGTGTGTACATGTTCGTTTTGTGATTCCTGTGGATAATTTTTACAACACAAAGTGCATCTCCTCAAGTCAAAAATGATATGGCAATGCAATTTATTGCACATTTTTTACACATGAAGCATTTTTGTTTCCACACTGGATTCACAACACAACACTGGTTTTGGTTTATATTATTTTTTCTGTAAAATTTATACCAATTAATTAATATATTTGTGGTCAGTCAAACTGTGTTATCACAGAAAGAGACATTTTTTGTATTTCAGGAAGACATCTTCATGTTGTTAACAATTTTTTGACTTTTTGTTAGCCAGTATAGATGTTTTTGAAACATATTTGTCAAGAATTATTTTGGAGTTATCGAGATTAGAGTTTCATGCAGGAGAATTTTACTGTCAAACAAAGAACACTTCATGCTACCTTCTGGCTTCAGGGTGATGCTAATTTTATTTTCTCCAGATATTATTTTGTCAGTACAGAAGCACAAATAGATTTATACAAAATGACAAATCTTTGCTGTACAGTTTGGAGTTTCGTCTATCTCTTTGGCTGCCCTATTTTTATTCTGTTGACATGTTTTGTTCCTGTTTGCATTTCTTGAATTTGTTTTGCATTACTTTAAAGTCATTTTTGTCTCCATGGATTTAGTTTGTGTCTGTTTGTGTTTTCACATAAAGTTCCCCATTTCCTGATGGTTTCATTTTGTTTTTTCCCAGAGTTTGTTCAAGGCTTGAGGCTAGTGCTACGCTTACTGTGTCTGTGTTGACCTGGAGTTTGTTTACATACTTTCTCACAGCATATTTTTAACCAAATGCGCCTTTTTCATTTGTTCCAAGTTTGAAAACCAGTTTTTGTAGCACTTTTACCTACTATACTAATTGTTTTTTAAATGTGCAAAACTCATTATCAAATTCATGATGCACTTTACATGATTCTAGTTTCACTGTTCTGGAAATGATTAAAAGAAAAATGTGATTCATTTCTCTTTTAAAAGCAGAGGGAAAAAAATCTTAAAGCCAGGTAAAAACCTTGATAATAAAAATATCTGTTCTTTTAAACCTCAAAATGCAGAACCTGTTAAAGCCTAAAGCCAAGCACAGCCAGTATCTTGTTTTGTGAAACTAGATCCACCATCATCGAGCCTAACTGCAACACAAGGATGAACTTATTTGCACTTGAATATTATATAAGCTAGACATATTTCTGAAGAGCATTTGGTCCGGATGTTTTACACATTCTCATTTCACATTGAATCTTAATTTTTTTTAAAAAACTACATTTTTTTGTATTTTTCTTAATGGTCCAAAATGTTTTAGTTATATATTTTTTCTTTATTCTCTTCGAACACATGGTGTTTGCCTCTGGCCCCAGATCTTCTATCTGCAGGAGGCCATTGTGATAATCACATATTGCGCTTTTGCCCTCAGCAGTCCAGCCACTTATAGCTTCCCATTAGCCGCCGGGAAGCTGTGAGAGATGGACTAAATTGCCTTGTTGTCATGGCCACAGACACAAAAACACTGTTTTTATTATTTGGCATATTTTCCCCCTCCATTATTATGGAGTGATTGTGGAGAGGAACATATGAGTGAAATGCGGGGAGAATAGCAGAGTAAAAGCCCCACTGGCCAGGATTCAAGCAGGGATCCAACTGCTGATAAATGCACAAAAACTTTCGACCTCCTAAAGACTGATGGAGGTGTTAGGAGCTGGTGTAGGTTCCTCCTAATGAAGACAAATAAATTATTCTTTTAGGAATATTTCTGCAGAACATGGGGAAATTTATTTCCTAAAAAAACAATAACAACAAAAAACCCTTTAGTTCTCCTTTGCACCAAGCCATGAGGAAAGTCTTCACAGGGTTTGCTGACAGGGTGTGCTCTCTGTCACATTGATGTAACAGAGAGCACATGCAGAACTTCAGCGATAAAGTGATGATTCATTATCCTGTTCGCTGCATATGTGGGTCCTTGGAGCAGCCTGTATACATGTGTCCCTCAGTGCATATCAATCCCTGTCCACGGTAAAATAGAGCTCCCACTTTTACAGTAGTGCACACACCTCCAAATTGATTGCACTGGTTGAACTAAAAGTTTTGTTTTTCAAGTTACAATTTAGATGTATTCCCACAGTAAGAGATAACATCTGGGTTTTGACATAGTTTATCTGATTACAGAGATCAGTGAATGACTTTGTGTTTGTGATTCCAAACATCATTGACTTCAGTTTTACATTTTCAAGTGATCCAGCTTTATTGAAATGGATGTGGAGGTTGTGGAGATTATCAGGTCTGAATCTGGTGTGGAACCATTCTTAAGTACCATTTTCCCAAATTGCCACTTCAGTTGTGACTTTCAGTTGACTTTAATGCTTGGTTGCTCATTTTTCACTAAATCAGTGACCATGATTTGCTTGTTCCTCTGGGAATCTATCACTCCAAACTTGAAACAATCTTTATGCATTAACCTTATTCTTAAAAAAAGTCACTTAGAGAACCATTTTACTTCAGTGACCAAGGATAAGTCATATTGCTTAAAGATCAGATTTATCTACTGAAATGGTAATCTTTAATTTGTGTGCTGTGTGAAAAGCAGCAGAATGCTTTAAAATTCTTATAAAAATTGGCTTTATCATAAAAAAATTAAAAGATCAATATTGTGGCTCTTTTTACCTTTTTCCTCTGCTTCACTATTAATTCGTCAACATTTTTAGAGATGATCTCCCAGAAAGAAAGAAATGCGTACGAACCGACGAACAAATAGCTGAAATAAGAGTAACAGACATGGGCAGACAACTCACTTGACTTGCCTCCCTTTTGATTCTCCGCTGTCCAATCAAAAGATTCTTCATCGTGAGACAGAGGCCAGTACATAGAGACTCGACAAGAAGCTGCGTATTAGGTGCAAAATCAGATGCTGGACCCTATGTCCTGTATATATACATATTTCTGAAGATGGGTCTGTATTTTTTTTCAGCATTTTCTTTGGTACATGTTTATTTCTATGGCTATTGCAAACGCAGAGGCTGTCGGAAAGCTCTGAAAACATGAAAAATTGAACCACTGATTAGAAATGATGTGATTCCAAAAGAACACGATTTGTTCTTTTTCATATCCGAGTTGTTGATTTTTGCGTCTTCCATAAACAAGACTGACTTCTTACCTGCCTCTCTCATTAAAGCTGTCTTTATCTGCCCTCTGAATTGAGCCAAAATCTCTTTTTTTTTCAGAAAATGAAATAAAATTGCTTCATTAAATGTTCAAAATATTATTACTAATTCCCATATGCCTTGTAAGCTCCTCTTGCTTATTTCAGAGCATTGTTAAGTGATGTTCTGAAATAATATCACTTATATTGTGAAATTAAGTCATTCC